TTAAATATCAAGGCAGAGCATAATGTGTCTGAGAACTGCTTCAACTCTTTTGTTGACGTAATGCGGGAAATAATGCCTCGTGATAATATCGTACTAAGTGATTTTTACAATATGAAGAAGCTAGTACATAACTTAAGTCTTTTAGTTGTAAGGATTGATGTATGTAGTAGGGTTGTAAGTTATATTGGAGAGCTGACAAAAATGCAGAATCTTGTAAATTCTGTAGCCAACTTAGGTACAAGATTAACATGAGGCAGGGTCGTAATCAGAAACGTAGACCATGCAAGCAAATGTTTTATCTGCCCTTAATCCTCAGATTGCAAAGGCTTTATGTGTCTCAAGGCACTGCTGAACACATGACTTGATATGCAAATCATGAAACAGAAGATAGTCTAACGTGTCATCTTTCAGATGCAGAGGCATGGAAACATTTTGATAGAATATACCATGAGTTTGCGATAGAACCTCGAAACATCATGTTAAGTCTATGTACTGATGGATTTACCCTATTTGGGAAATCAGGAAAAAGTTATTCATGTTGGTCAGTTATCTTAACTCCGTACAATCTTCCACCTAGTATGTGCATGAAGACACCTTATATGTTTTTGACATTGATCATGACTGGCCCACAAAATCCAAAAAAGTTGATAGATATTTATATGCAACCATTGATTGAAGAGTTACAACGGCTATGGGATGAAGGTGTCCTTACATATGATATTTCTGTTGATCAAACATTTGTAATGAAGGCTGCTCTTCTTTGGACGATAAATGACTTTTCAGCTTATGGAATGTTATATGGATGGAGTATAGCTGGGATCTTAGGATGTCCGATATATTTGGAGAGATCAAAGTCATTTAGATTAAGACATGGTAAGAAGCCCAGCTATTTTGACTGTCACAGACAATTTTTGTCGATAAATCATACATTCAGAAGGAATAAAAAAGAGTTCATCAAGAATAGGATTGAAAGAACACCTCCACCATTGAGGTTGACCGGTGATCAAATTTGGGAGCGAGTGTAGGACTTTCCAACTGTTGTTGAAAACCCTCATGGCATAACTATTGCTTACGGAAGTACACATAAGTAGACTAAATGCGGTATATTTTGGGATCTACCATATTGGAAAGCCCATCTTATTCATCATAATCTTGACGTCATGCACATAGAAAAGAATATTTTCGACAATGTCATAAATACTGTGATGGATGTCACTGGAAAAACAAAAGACAACTTGAATGCAAGAAAAGATATGAGAGATATTTGTGATCAGCCAACACTAGATGTGGATGCAAGCAGCAAGGGACCAAAACCAAAAGCAGTTTATACATTGGACAAGGAGCAAAGACAGGTTATCTATCAATGGTTGAAATATGTGCGGTTTCCTAATGGATATGCTTCGAACCTCGGGAGATGTGTTGATTTGAATGAATGCAAGTTGACAGGTTTGAAGAGTCATGATTGTCATATATTTATGGAAATACTAATTTCAATAGCTTTCAAGGAACTTCTACCAAACTTTGTATGGTGCACCATTACAAAGTTAAGTAATTTCCTTCATGATATTTGCTCAACAGTATTAAAAGCATCACACATGGAAAAACTAGAGAGAGATATTCCAATTATTCTTTGCAACTTAGAAATGATATTTCTTCCATCGTTTTTTAATTCAATGGAACATCTCTTAGTTCACTTGCCTTATGAGGCCAAAGTTGCAGGTCTCGTCCAATTTCAATGGATGTATCCATTTGAGAGGTAAATTTTTTTTTAATAAATTCCAAATTACTTTATTGTATATTATGTTCCGATAAACTTCTTTCTATTGCAACTAGGTTCTTATATCATTTGAAGAAAAAAGTGAAGAATAAGGCATGTGTTGAAGCTTCAATTTGTAATGCATATATTGTGGAAGAAGTGACAACATTTATATCATATTATTTTGAGCCGCACGTGCAGTGCAAGAGGCGAAGAGCAGGAAGAAATGATGAGGACCCCATTGATCCCAATTGCAAATCATTATCTATTTTCAATTATCTTGATCGACCAAGCGGTGCATGTACGTTGCATTACTTAACAGGCGAAGAATTGCAAGCAGCCCATACATATATTTTATTAAACTGTCCAGAAGTGGAGCCATACTTCGAGTAAGTATACATTTGCAAATATATGTATTGTGTGTCAAACATTTGCTAATATATAAATGGTATTTGTTAATAGGATTTTTCAAACCTCAATGTATGAACTACCACCAAATGAGTTTGACTGTATGTACGATAAAGAATTTGCAGCATTATTCAAAACATATGTAAGTTGCCTATGGACCAAAACCAAGTTATTAATATTTTATACATAATTTTTTAAAATATATATTATTGACTTTGCGACTGTGACCTTAGGTTCACAGTAATCATGATCAAGTTGAAGAGCAAGGATTGCTATATCATCTGTCATGGGATCCAAAGTCAAGAGTACAAAGCTGGCCAGCATATTTCATAAACGGGTATAGTTTTCACATTCAAGAATATGGAATAGGAAAAGCCACAATGAATAGTGGTGTGTGTGTTCGGTCATCCAATGGTGGCAGTTCAAAAGATGATTTTTATGGCTTGTTGGATGAAATCATAGAGATAGAGTACCATGGACCATTAATGCGGATTGTGTTATTTAAGTGCATGTGGTTCGACCCCGTGAAAGGAATGAAGGTGCATACGAAGTTTAATTTGGTTGAAATAAATCACAAGAAAAGATATATGAAATATGAACCATTTGTCTTGGCACAATAAGCAATTCAAGTATATTATGCATTATATCTTAGTTTGAAATGTGACAAAGCTGATTGGTGGGCTGTATGTAAAATCAAAGCACGAAGAAAAATCGAGGAACACTGGAAGAATACAGCATATCAACAAGAGGAAGTCTGTAATGCGATTGAAACTGAGGAATATAACATTCCAACTTTATGAGATCCATGTGGAGCAATGGTAGATGTGGATGCAACTGAAATTCGCAAATCAAATCTAGAAGGTGTTGCAGAATCTGATTTTGAAACAGAGGATGAATATGAAGATCAAGACGAAAACGAAGCTGAAGATGAAGATGAAGATGAAGACGAAGATGAAGACGAAGACGAAGACGAAGACGAAGACGAAGATGAAAACGAAGGTGAATATTAAGATTATGATTTTTGAGACTTTATTAATTATGTGTAATTATTATTATTATTGTGACATGTGAGTTATTGTTGTTGTCATAACTATTGTTGTTGTTATTATTATTATTATCATTATTATTGTTATTATTATTATTTATTTGATGAATTGCTAATATGAAAGGCCGTCCCTAATTTCGTTGCTAATTGGCGACAAACATAATTTCGTCGCAAAATTAGCGATGACATTGGCGACAATTTTTATTTGCTTAATTTTTAATATAATAGGTCGTCTCTAATTTCGTCGCTGATTTGCGTCGTCGCTAATTTCGTTGCAAAATTACACTACAAAAAACCAAGGATTTAGCCGTGGAAATAGCGAAGAATGCCAATTCGTCGCTAATATGCGACGGAAATAGCAACGAACGCGACTATTTTTATAGTTCGTTGCTGATTTCGTCGCTAATTTGCTACGGAAATAGCGACGAAAGTAACTTTCGCGGGACGTTTTCGACTATTTTATTTTCGTCGCTAATTCCGTCGATAATTAGCGATGGATTTAGCGACGAAATTAACTTTCGCTACCGTTTTTAAAATCCGTCCCTAAATCCATCTGTAATTAGCGACGAATTTTAATCCGTCCCTAATATGCGACGGATTGAACTTAAAAATACTATTTGTGAAATCCGTCACTAAATCCGTCGCTAATTAGCGACAGATTGAACTTAAAAATAGTGTTAAATATGTCTTGAATTTTATGTACTCGGTCCGGTTCATCACCCAACCTGACATATTTTTTGTGCGACCCAAAAGTGGAGAAAAAAATTGAGATTTAGTTCGTGATGCGGAGGGTTTGGGGAGTCCTATTTATACTGCGGCTAGATTTTTTTTTCATTGATTAAGAGAGATTTTCGCGTTTTTTATCCAACAAATAGTATTTGTAAAATCGGTCCCTAAATCAATTGCTAATTAGCGACGAATTTTAATCCGTCGCTAATTAGCAACGGATTTAGCGATGGATTGAACTTTAAAACAGTATTTGTGAAATCCGTCGCCAAATCCATCGCTAATTAGCGACGGATTGAACTTAAAAATACTATTTGTGAAATTTGTCCCTAAATCAATCGCTAATTAGCGACGAATTTTAATCCATCGCTAATTAGCGATGGATTGAACTTTAAATAGTATTTGTGAAATCCGTCGCTAATTAGCGACGAATTTTATTCCATCGCTAATTAGCGACGGATTTCACTTTCGCGGCAGACGGGTTACTTTTTACAAATCCGTTGCGAAATCCATCGCTAATTAGCGACGGATTTAGCAACGGATTGAACTTAAAATAGTATTTGTGAATTCCATCCCTAAATCCATCGCTAATTAGCGATGACTTTTAATTCGTCACTAATTAGTGACGGATTTAGCGACGGATTTAACTTTCGCAACAGACGAGTTACCTTTTAAAAATCCGTCGCTAAATCCATCGCTAATTAGCGACGAAATTATTACAATCCGTTGCTAATTTTAGCGACGGATTTAGCAACGGAATTAAACTTTTGCGAAAATCCGTCGCTCATTGCCGAAACGGCATCGTCTTGATTTGAGGTACAATTAGGGCTTTCTCTCGCCATTCTCTCTCTGTCGATCAATTCTTGTTCTCTCTCTCTCTTGACGGTTCCTCCGACGATTTGGCGTTCTCTTTCTTCAGATTTGGCGTTCTTCACATTGAATTCTAAGGAGGAGTAAGTTCCTGCTCTTTACCCTTGTTCTTCAAAGTATTTGTTTCTGTTGATATGGGTGGCATCCTCCTACGTGAACTGGTCGATCTTTTGTCATTTCTCAGTTTTTTCCATTTTTTCATGCAGCTAGGTAGATGAAGTCATTCCTGATGCTCCATGGGTGATCACACCAAAGTTCCTGGACAAGCACCAAATCAACTATATTGCACACGACTCTCTTCCATAAGGTTAATCAGCCCGAGTAAATGTTGTTGATTGCTTGAAACTTGTCTAGACAAATCTCGCATCCGTGAAGTGTTCAATCCTTGTTTTTCTTTAGTCGTTCACGTCTTTCCCCATCTAATGGGACTCGCCCATCAATGTAGATGCATGATATCCTTTATTAGTAATGGCTGTGCAGTTCCTTCTAAGATTTTCTGTGCTAAGTTTTCTGTCAAATAATCGAATATGCCATGAACCTAGTTTTCACAGAATTTTTGTACATCCAGTTCTTCTAATGATTAACTTCTAATTCCTTGAAAGCCTGATTATCTTAAACGGTTAGGAATATCAATTGTAACTTCCCTAACAACTATTTGTTTTTTTTCCAAGATGAATAGGCTTTTTCCTACCTTGAATCGGTCAAATGTGATTTCTGAGTTTTGCCATGTGAAGTCATGTACTACTTAATGGATGCCTCAATCTCAGAATCATGCTATAGGATTAGAGGGGTGAAGCAGACAATATGTTCTTTTCACATCCTATAATTTCAAGAATGTGAGATTGTCTTGAAACTTTCGTAGGTTGCATCTGATATCAATCCATGAGACCATAAGAACTCCGCCCGTGAGTTGAAATCAGTGTTGAACTCAAGAAGCGGATTTCCTATCTACAAAGTTTGTTTCGTTTTCTCAAATTTATCTCTTGCTCTCTGAAACAAAATGGTAAGCTTCATGATGTATGTCATTATGTGTTCATGTTTTTTAAGATATTTGTCTAACCTTTCTACTTGTCAGTATAAATGTGGACATCACATGCATGGTTCAGTTTCACAAAGAAGAGCAGTGCCTTCCCCTTCCTCGTCCTCATCCCCGTCCTTTTCCTCTTCCCCTGCCATTTCATGTTTCCCTCAACCACTACATGCTGATGGACAACATGGACACATTGGCCCTTCTTCCGACCCTCAAGAACATATTGGTCCTTCAGTTCCACCTTCTTCTTCAGTGCAACACTCGAATGATGAGGGAAACACAAGTGAAGAAGATAGCCGACTCATGATATGCCCATATGGAGATTCGTAAGTACTTCATTTTTTTTAATTATGTGTTATTTAGAGTTTTAGATTTCAGTCAACTGAATTGTCCATATTGCAAATTATCCGTATGCTTCATTGTTCAATTGTCCATATCGTTCTTTCTAACATGTTTGCAGATTCACGGATGCTACGTATGTTGTGAGGCAACTTAAAAAAATAGTCAATAACTCTTGGAGGGGGCAGTATATTAGTTATAACAGCGCTCCAAAAGAAGTAAAGGGTTTGTGGTGGAATGAGTTCAAGGTAAGTTTTGTTCTTGTAGGTGTTTCTAGTGGCCGTGTTAGGGAAGTCCCACATTAAGTAGTAATGGATATGAACTTCAGAAAATCCATTGCCGAATTGTCTGGTGCATGGTAATAACTTTCAGTTGTTTTTCTATTAATGCAACGGAAGTTCAGGTTGGATGAAATGGAAGAAGATGAAGTTAAAAGAATTTTTAAGAAAAAAGTCGGTGATCACATACGAAATATGATGAACAAAGCAAAGATAAGTCAAGTAAAGCCTGATTTTATTACGGTGACAATTGGACCGAAATTAAGAGAAATTGGGAAACTGAAAAGAATAAGCAAATGAGTGAACAGAATAAGAAGAATCGAGCTTCTAGTTCTAGTGAAGGGTCTGTTACATATGCTGGGGGCTCTATCAACATCGGGGAGCATAAAAAAAGAATGGTAAGTTTGTTGAATATGTTGTAAGTTAATTTAATTCAATTACTCATTTATGTTTATATTTTGTAGGCAAATGAATTGGGGATGGAACCGACATATACAGCTACATTTGAACGCATATTTCAAAAAAAAGATAAGACATGAACTGGCGATCGAGCAAAAGCTAATAAGGTACGTAAGTTTATGGAAACTAGAATGAAAATCATGAATGCTTTTAATATTTATTGTAGTTATATATATGAAGTTGTTTTATTTTTATATATATTGTTAATGCAGGAAAAATATGATGAACTTTTAATGAGTAGTGGTAGTGGTAGTGGTAGTGGTAGTGGTAGTGGTGGTGATGGTGTTGCTGCGTCTGAGCCATCAGTTGACAGTATGGCATTATGGGTGGAGGCATCGGGTGGGATGAAATAAGGAAAAATATTTGGGATGGGATCCTTGTCAAGGGTATACACAACGCAAGCTGCTACAACTTCATCCTCCAATGCGGCTGTTTCGAGGAGGACACGACTTGAGGAGCAAATAACCCAAAAATTGAGCCAACTGAAACATTTACTTGTAGAGAAGGTCGAAGAAATAAGAGTGGTCAAACAACAAATGCAATTGATCTTGCGACACCTCAACCTCGATCACGATGAGGTTCCTCCTGTACCTCCGACTAATCCAATAGGTGATGGGCACAATGATGAGCGATATGATGATGATGACATTGCTGATGGTGATGATGATTTTCTCGGTCCTTAGTCCTTGCTAGTTAAAATTTCCATTTTTAAGCACTAAATTTTGAGCATTGTGTATTTCATCATCATATCATTATGTATTTAAGCACTAAATTTTGATGTTATTAAGTGCTTCATCATTGTCAAATATAAATTCTAGAAATTAATTTTGCTATTAATTATATTTAAATTCTAAATCGTCCCTAAACAACATTCGTCGTTAACTTTTCGCTAAAAGAATTAATAAAAATTCGTCGCTAAATTCGTTCCGGAACGATGTTCGTGGCAAAAGTAAAAAAATTTCGTGGCAAATTAGTGACGAATTTTGCGACGAAAAATTAGCGACAAATTTTGCGACGAATTTCGTGACGGAAAATTAACGACGAATTTTGCGACAAAAAATTAGCGACGAATTTTGTCACGAATAAATTTCGTGGCTAATTAGCAACGAATTTTGTGACGAATAATTAGCGATGAATTTTGCGATGAATATTTTTCGTCGCAATTTAGCGACGGAAATTGAAAAAATTTGTCGCTAAATTTTGCAACGCCGAATTGGCGACGAAATTTTTTTTGTCGCAAATTCGTTTAGCGATGAATTTTTCCATTTTTTTCGTGGCAAAATTTGTCGCTAAAAACTACTTTTTTTGTAGTGTACTTTCTCTTTTCGAATCGTTCACATTTCACGCAAGGAACCAACACTCGTACCATTCTCTTTTCCTGAACGGCAATTTCATTTTATAATTCTATGACATCGACAAATTAATGCAACTTCCTTTTCTTTACAGAACTGCAAATTTGGAAATCTTACGAAAAGAAGATACAAGTGTCGCATAATTAGTTTTTCCTTTTCTTCCACCATCCGCTGCTTTGCAAATAACACAATTCAATGGATCTTTATTCAATGCACTAGTGATGCAGAAATTTCTTTACATGAGCAGGTTATACACCTTTTATTTTTAACATGTAGATATACTCCATAAGTAGATTTTTCTTTCCATTCTAAGACCGCTTGAGTAAAAAGGTATTGTACACTTATAGTGTCCATAATATAAATCCTGTTTCGATGGCCTTTTATTTTGTACAATCACGGTGTAAAGTTTTCTTCAGACATATAGGTTTTGGATAAGAGACAAGACATCGGCACGAAAGAGATAAGAGATAAGAGAGAGAGGGCGGTTCATATTTGAGCTTTTCTGCATGGACTGATAATAGAGTAAAACATCTCGACTCGGTCGTAATGACACCCTGGTAAAATTATGAAAGGGTGGTTTTTTTTTGGTGAAAAAGAGTCGTATTATTTTGTCCACCGAATTCGGACCAGGTTAGTCCTTTTTCTTTTGTGTCTAGTGGGGCTCAGTAGTTGCCTACGGATATGCGGCTCTGCGGGCAAGGTGCGAACTGGCAAACCCCGGCCAGAAAAAAAAAAAAAAAAGGTGTTCTATGGTTAATAGTAACAAGGAAAGGGCGCAAAAGTAGGAAAAATGAATAAATTAACGAAGAAAGAAGAAGACTGATGGAGCTTAGTATAGAACGTAATTTAAATTATCATAGGATGAAAAAGCTTCAATTCGAATTTATAATCAATGGTTGAGATTTTTGTAAAAACATACTTTTGTGGATCTTTGTAAATTGCCATTTTAACCACTGTTTAAAATACATGGTTATCGTTACCTAATTTTCAATTATGGATATTTTTGAAATTTCGGGTCGCAGCCAAGAATGGTATTAGATTTACTTTTATAATGTAGAGATGGTGCACTGTCAAAACAGTGAGGTGTTGATGGTTTCGAACAAAGGGAAAATTTCATTGGACAAGTGAAAGAAGGCCTTGCCCATCTTTGGTAATTATGGTTGAATATCTAAAAAAACAACTTAGATCAACCTGTGCAACCTAAAAATCTAACTTGAATAGTTTTCGTTCCTACATTTGGCAATTTAATTTTTACTGGGAACATGTTTTCCTCCATTGTTGGTCAGAAAAAATTACCTCCAATCAGTTCATGTGGGTTACACTCTTGAATGTTACCAATACATAACCCTAAAATATAACAAAAAAACAAATAAAAGAAACAGAGAAAACCAAAATCAGCCCACCCCCTCTCTTTCTTCCTTTCTTTCTACTTGTTCAACCAGGCTGCTGCACTATCACCACACTCCACCTCGCCGTCTCCGGCGATCTACCTCGCTGCATCCACTAGCATCTCTACTGTGGTCCCGTTCACCATGAGCGAACCGTTGCTGACCGAGCACTGGTGGAAACAGAGGTGGTAGAGAAAGGCGGGCTCGGAAGAACAACTTTAATGAACTGAGGCAATTTCTCTATTTTCAAAAAAAGGAACTATCAATTAACTCATATATATATATATATATATATATCATCATCATCATCATCATCATCATCATTATTTAAATGGAGATATAAGATATTGTAATCGGGTTAATGTGTAAGGACCTCGGCCCCACCACGCTTCCACACTAAGTCCTCACGGCTTTAAAACGCGTTACACAAAGGTTAGGGGCCAAGCCTTATAAGCAATCCCAGGACTCCCCCCCTAAGCGATGTGAGACAGAGACATGCCCCCCTTGCCATCCTAGAAGCACCATTTGTAAGGACCCGGGGTCTACACTGTGTAATATTGTCCGCTTTGGGCCCACTGACCCTCACGGCTTTAAAACGCGTTATACAGGATAGGCCACCCAGGCCTTATAAGCAACCCCAGGACTCCCTCCCTAAGCGATGTGGGACAGAGAGATGCCCCTCCCTTGCCATCCTAGAAGCCTGCCAGGAGCCGCTCCTTGTCCAGGCCCTCTGGCCCCGGCGACCACTCCCCGCCCTCGTCGGACCGGGTTGTTACTTGAAGGAGGGGAGAATGTAACGACCCGGTCCGACGAGGGCGGGGAGTGGTCGCCGGGGCCAGAGGGCCTGGACAAGGAGCGGCTCCTGGCAGGCTTCTAGGATGGCAAGGGGGGCATGTCTCTGTCCCACATCGCTTAGGGGGGAGTCCTGGGATTGCTTATAAGGCTTGGCCCCTAACCTTTGTGTAATGCGTTTTAAAGCCGTGAGGACTTAGTGTCCAAAGCGGACAATATTACACAAGGAGTGGCGCAGTGAAAGCGTGGTGGGGCCGAGGTCCTTACAAATGGTATCAGAGCCGACTCCCGACCGCGTGTGGGGCCACAGCGAGGACGCTGTGCTCGAAGGAGGGGAGAATGTAACGACCCGGTCCGACGAGGGCGGGGAGTGGTCGCCGGGGCCAGAGGGCCTGGATAAGGAGCGGCTCCTGGCAGGCTTCTAGGATGGCAAGGGGGGGCATCTCTCTGTCCCACATCGCTTAGGGGGGAGTCCTGGGGTTGCTTATAAGGCCTGGGTGGCCTATCCTGTGTAACGCGTTTTAAAGCCGTGAGGGTCAGTGGGCCCAAAGCGGACAATATTACACAGTGTAGACCCCGGGTCCTTACATAATGAAACCAAAGGTGCTGAATGTTTACCAATTATCCATCGTATGTAATCATTTTTTGAAACAATTGAGTTCCTATATTATGTACTTTTTTATCCATTAGCTAATGAAAATCAAAGGCTCTGAGTTTTTACCAATCATTTGATGTCGTTCTTAAACTCTTTTTATTGATTCGATTTCTGAATTATATGTTTTTCTTGTTCATGTTAGTCTTATATTAAAAAAATAAGTGAAAATGCCGAAGTGGTAATCGAGTTATTACTATATGTCAAGTTGACACCCTATGTGGCTACTAAAAAGGAAAAATTACCAAAAATATTTTAAACCTATTGCACTTGTACCGATTTTGTCATAAACCTTTTAACAATTTGCCAATATAGTCCATTTGGCCAATTTTGACCGAAAATTGATGATGTGAATGCCGGCTATTTTAAGTGGCACTGCCAATGCTAGTATGGAAATTTTCTTTTCTTTTCTTATTCTATTTGTTTCTTTATAAGTATTCTTGCCACCTCTTAGTCGTTTGATACAGAGACAGTTGTATGATTGTATCCTGCAATTCATGTGTGAGGCCCACCAACACGTGAGAAATGCTAAAAACATACTATAATATATATAGTTAAATTATGCACAAATGATTGTCTCGTATGGCAATCTTTTTCAAAGACGAAGTAGCTCATCTTAGCTAGTTAGGTTGCTCTTCAGCCGACGAAATTCTTTATTGATTGATTTCGTGGGTCTAATAGAATGTGAGTGAAAACCTGAGTGATTGATCCAAATATTAAATTATCTATACTTGCTACTTGCTAGCATGGAGATTCCAACATGCGCCAATCGCACATCATTCTCAACACATGAAAAAACTGATTCATTAGCACTAATTTCTCCATCCTACCCAAGAACCCTCCTACTCTTCATTGAACCCACCGAAGAAATTTCTTGAACATTGACAAGAATTTGCGGGTCAAAGTTCACAACGGTCCTCTACTCCCTATTGCTGACCCAGCCTCAGTGCACCTCCCCATCGCGCCCATCACCCATCTTCAATGCTTGGCTCCTACTGTCATATCTCTGTGTATGTATAACTGACTAAGCCCCCATGGATGAGAGAGAGATGTTGCTACCTTGCCTAAGGTGTTCTCAAGAGGAGCGGGACTAACGATTCTTCGCACGGGAACGGGGGTCCCTCTAATCGAGGTGCTCGCTCTCGTTCGGAGCGAGTTCTCCCAAACCATAACCGATCGCGACGTTTGAAGGATTCAATTGATTAATAATTTTTTTTATCTAATCGGAGTCGCTACTTATCTCTTTGGCACCGGTCAGGAGCCAAGTGAAGTGCGGGAGGACTCTTCACTTCCTACAAACTGAGATTCTAAGGTCGTAGACATGATTACACCAATTGTCTAATTAACACGCTTTCGGTACCGATTCTCGATCTTTCAAAGATGTAGTTCATGCAACCTTCGCTCATGTTATTATCCTACGCCACCAAATGATATCCATGCATAGGTGTGCAATCAATTAATTAAGCAATCACAATGAATGCGATAAAGACAAAGTGTGAAAAGATAAAACTAATACGATGTCAGGCAAAAGATATACATGGCCTCGTCCTGGGGCATAAACCCCAGTGAGCTAAATCCAAAATCTATTCTACGTCTATTTCTAAACTAAATGATTGCTATTATTCTTTTTAGAGAAGTAAGTAATATCCACTAAACACTAAGTGTAATAGAAAAGCATCGTAACATGAATCAGATCTAATCTCTAAAATGCAATTCATGGAAATCAACCGCTACTCAGCTATACAATCATTAACCAGGAAAACAACATGCACGCCCGAATTGACTAGTCAAAGCTCTCACGGGATACTACCTTTGATCACATACTGAACATATAGGACGTATGTGATGTAACTACATTTATCATGAGATGCAATCTATAATAAGACTACAACTGAACATGCTTATACTAATGCAAACAATTTCTATTCATGAAAAGATTATCGACACGCCCCAAATGGCTTAGATGTGTATGAAAACATTTATTCATGAAAATTCCACTCTTTTTTAGATGTAGCAATTATCTTGATGCATACAAAATCAACGGAAAAGTAACACAAGGGATAACTAAAAAGTGAATGAAATGGCCCATCTTGAAAGATGAGGTAGAGACGGAGCAAGTATTTACTTATTTCACAGATAGAACTTCTCTATCTTGTTTTATTTTATTATTTTGTATCCACCACACTCTTAATGTCCATACTAACACCTCAAGAACATAATCCAATCTCTGAACTTGTTTTGTATGATTCAAGGCATTTGTCCCGTGGAAGATGAATGATCTGGAAGTCATTTTCCTAAAAATGATCACTTGTATCGCTTACGAAAATGAATAAACGAAGAATATATTCATTGTCCACAAAAATATTTAGACATAAATTATTGTCGATATTGAAAATATCTTTCATTGACTAATTATTTCATGCAATACAAATTATCATTTTTAGAAAAATATTTTTCAAATCATTCATTTTTTAAAAAACAAATAGAGCCTAAAAGCATTTGAACAATGGTCTCCTCGTACCGAGTTGTTACACCTCTGAATTTTTCAGTCACGAGCATGACACTAAAGGCTCCAATAATGTAGTTAACTTTAGTAATGACAGAAACGCACTAAACTAGAACAGAACAAAATGAAAGAGGAAATCTGGACAGCAAGTACTTGGCATGCACGAACAACACATCAATGACGCAATTACGCAATTACACATACCAGGACATACGAAGAGCAAGCACGGACACAAAAGACATAATCCGTAGCTCAGACACATAGGTACGAATACAACACAGTGAGCACATCAGCAACTCAACGCATTCAATATGGACATACAACCGATGAGCCAACCAGTAACGCAGCGCGCTCAAAATGAATGCGCATATGATGACAAGAGCAGCAACTCAATGCCCATGCATCGTGCACTCGGTATTCAAGATAGCAGCATTCGCTCAATACACTTGCAATTTCAACAGAGAACTACCCAGCAGCATTCTCATAATAAGTTTGCAATTCGGCACGACAAACATAGATCGACATATAGAGAAGCACAAGAAGTAAGCGTGCATGGATCAAATCCATTCTCGTTCAAGAGGCCCTCAGTCAAGTTCCGGAATACTCAGTAAGATTCATCTCATGTACACACTGGATACGCATCCAATCCGAGAATGTCAACAACAAATCCTAAAATGAATAGCTACTAAATTCTGAAATGAAAGGAAACGAAACAAAAGTAAAGAATATGCGACGAAAAGAGTGAATCGATCAAGCAAAGGAAAGCTCTCGGTCAGAATCTGAATCGAGACGCACACTGATCTGGTTCGGGAATTTTATCAAACAGGTGGTCGATATTTCGGCCAAAGGATCTAGATGCTGAAATAAGAGACATGTCACTCTCTGGCTGACGGAATCGAGCACTCGGTCCCGACCTTCAGCAAAAGCAGGGCATGCTAATTTAGCTTGGCTAAGAGTAATAGCTAACCACGATTGGTGATCAAATCAGACGAGTAAAGCTTCAGGAGTTGTAGCACCAAAGACTGGAACCGGCTAACGGAGGGAGAAGGAGAATCCAGCACTTCGATGACATTAGCCAGAAAATAGGGGCAAACAGAGCACTTCTTCCTGTGGCTGCGAAGCTGGTGGTGTTGGGGAAGTGACCTGCGACTGCAATCAGTGACAGAGAGAGAGAGAGAGGGGTAAGGATTCATAGAGGAAATCGAGACAGAATCACAACTAAACGTGAGAATTCCTTCCCTATACTCTCTGCTCTGAGGTTCAAATGCGAAGAGTCTATGGTGGTCGGCGATCGGAGACGAGCGGCGGCTACCGATGGACTGGCGGTGGCCGACTATGAAGAGGGAATCGCGACGTAGAAGCTCCTGGAAATTGATAACACGAGAAAGAATTTGCTGAGCTCCGTGTATGTGTGTTCCCTCGGCTGTATTCTACGCCGCCGAATGCATATATCTTAGAAATACGTATATGCGGACTGTAGCGAGATGGGCCGAAATTTTATTTAATATTTTTTATTATTTTCATATATTTCTTATTTTTACAAAAAAGCATGGCCAATTTGCCGGCGAAAATTCAGGTGTATTAAACGGATGAGAAAGGCTGCTATATGTGTTTTTATCAAATGGATGAAAATTTGTGTAAAATTTATGAGAAAAGCCCACTATTTACATAAGGACAGGAGGAGAGATTCCTTCAATTAGAGCTAGAGATGGATCTAAGTGACAAGTAATGTATCCCATGTACTTATTGGTGATTTAGTAGTCAATTGTAGTTGAGTAAACTTCTAAAATATAACTTATATACATTCTAGTGTAGTTTGAACATTATTTGCCACTTTTAAGATAAGTTACAAATATGCTCGGCAGCTATATACTATATAGTCCCTATCGTATACAAATTGGTTGCTACCATTACTTTCGATATTGCCCCTGGCGAGGTCAATCCCGATGTACGTGCATCCGGGCACCTCGGAGGTCCTCATTGTCCTCCTAGGGTCAATCTGTGCCGGGTTCATCTCGTCGCCGGCGAACTCCGTCTACTTGAAGAACCTCAACAGAGGGGGCTATTGCACACCCAATTGGATGCTGGTAAAGGTCCAGCACTTCCCACAGTCAGCTTCAGCAGTCCGAGCCCTGGGCTTCAAATCTTTGGACTTTGCTCTCTTCGCTAATGATTTGCCCTCTGAGTTGGTGGAGGCCGCCACTTTCCTTGATGATGCTCAGGTTAAGAAGCTTAAGGGTGTTCTTGGTGGCACCGGCTAAGTGGCTTGATTTCATTTTAGTAGAGAACCCATCCATCAACAAACACCACCTTTCCAAGCCTCTTCAAAATGAAAAATGAAAAAAAAGGAAAATAATAGTTCGGATTATATGCTCGCCGCCATTAACGGCTTTCTCTGGATTTTTCATGTAAGGTTGTTTCGGGTTCGCGCGTGTTGAAGTAAGTAGTTCGAGTTCAGATTGATTATTAGTGCTTTCTAACTTGTTATCCTGTTTGGACTTTGGAGCAAATGCTTCCTCAATTTCTTGACAGCTAATGCTCATCCGCGCATTATAGATATGATTTCCAGTTGAACTGGGATCCTTTCTACTAAGGGATAAGCTAACATTCGTTGCTGCATCCATCTAAAGACGGCTTATGTCATGCCGTGTGTTTCCCCAACCAGTGAGCTGGCGAGATGGGCTTATCACATTGAACGGGTGCATCTAAGATTTTTTATTTATTTATTTTTTTTATACAATATTCGATTTGCATTAAGACTGTCGATTTGATTGGTTGTTTGACCAGAAATTCATAAATGTTTCGAATGCAAGTAACTCTTTAATCCATTTTTGGATTCTGGCAACCCTCATGCCATTGGAAAGCTCGACTTATAGTTGTTAGGTACAAGTTTTGTTCAGTTTAGATCATTTGGGTTTTGATTTCACCATGTGTTTTCCTCGAAAAGGTGGTTATGTTTCGTTCAAGACAAACAGGGGTATCGGGCGAACGATGTCTTAGGGCGCGCATGGAATCCATTCTGGAGCAGAAATTCTGCTCCAGAATGCATTCCGGTACAGAAATGCGTTTGTTAAAATAATTTTGGAATGCATTCTGGAGCAATTTTTGCATTCCGGAATAAAAACGCGTTTGGTAAAACTTCATTCTTTTTTTTGCTCTAGAATGAATTTTTGCTTCCAGAATGAGTTTCGGCCCAAAAAAGAGAAGCTACTTTTTGTAGCTTCTCTCTTCTAGAATGCATTCTAGCCCAAATTTCCTTTTTTACAAGAAATAAAAAATTTCAAAAAATGAAAAAATCAAAAATTTCAAAATTTCACAAAATGGCTTAGAATACCTGTGGCCATCCACTTTGAGTGAAATTTAAATTTTTTGAGGTGCCAAAAAAAATCAAAAAATCAAAAATTTCAAAATTTCACAGAATGGCTTAGAATACCTGTGGTCACCCACTTTCAGTGAAATTTAAATTTTTTTAGGTGCCCAAAAAAATAAAAAAAATCAAAAACTTCAAAATTTTACAAAATGGCTTTAAATACCTGTGGCCACTCACTTTGAGTAAAATTTAAATTTTTTGAGGTGCCAAAAAAAATCAAAAAATATAAAATAAAAAATTTTACAGAATGGTTTAGAATACCTGTGGCCACCCACTTTGAGTAAATTTAAATTTTTTTAGGTGCAAAAAAAAATCAAAAAATCAAAAATTTCAAAACTTCACAGAATGGCTTAGAATACTTATGGCCACCCACTTTGAGTGAAATTTAAATTTTTTGAGATGCCCAAAAAAATAAAAAAATTTCGAAACTTCATAGAATGGCTTAGAATACCCGTGGCCACCCACTTTGAGTGAAATTTAAATTTTTTGAGTTGCCCAAAAAAATAAAAAAATAAAAAACTTCAAAACTTCACATAATAGCTTAGAATACCTGTGGCCATCCACTTTGAGTGAAATTTAAATTTTTTGAGGTGCCCAAAAAAAATCAAAAATTTCAAAACTTTACAAAATGACTTAAAATACCTGTGCCCACCTACTTTGAGTGAAATTTAAATTTTTTGAGGTGCCCAAAAAAAATAAAAATAATAAAATAATAAAAATTTTCAAAACTTCACAAAATGGCTTAAAATACCTGTAGCCACCCACTTTGAGTGAAATTTAAATTTTTTGATGTGCCCAAAAAAATAAAAAAATAAAAAACTTCAAAACTTCACAGAATGGCTTAGAATATCTATAGCCACCCACTTTGAGTAAAATTTAAATTTTTTGAGGTGCCCAAAAAAATAAAAAAAATAAAAAAATTCAAAACTTCACAAAATGGCTTAGAATACCTGTGGCCACCCACTTTGAGTGAAATTTAAAATTTTTTAGGTGCCAAAAAAAAATTTAAAAAAATCAAAAATTTCAAAACTTTACAGAATGGCTTATAATACATGTGGCCACCCACTTTGAGTAAAATTTAAATTTTTTTAGGTGCAAAAAAAATCAACAAATCAAAATAGATTTCTGTTCCAGAAATCAATTTCTGGAACAGAATTAGTCATGTTTTACCAAACAGATTTCTCCTCCAGAAATCAATTTCTGGCAAGAATTCCAGAAATCAATTTCTGGCAAGAATTTGATTTCTGGAGCAGAATGGTTACCATTCGCACCCTTATTGGAAAGCTTACAATAAACCTAGGTGCTCACAAAGTTTCATGAAATTGTACTGGCATAGAACTTTCAACATGAAATCACTATATATATATAGAGTGGTTAGAACTCATGCAAGATTGTTGACTCACATGGCGTGCTCATGTGCAAGTTTTATTGAGGGATTTGCTTTTGATAGTTAGTTTAGCAAACCTCTAATGCTAACAGATATCTAATCTTAGCAAATATCTAATTTTGCATCTCTAATTCTTGTGCATATTTTGAAATACCTGGAGGCTAAATATTTAAGTTGATGGAAAAAAATTTCTTGCATCTAAATTGTATAAAAAATTAATAATAATAATTTTAAAAAAAATTATATTCCAATATTAAGCACATTTTGGTACTAAATGTTTAACAATAAGGATTTATGCATATGTACGTTCTATTTTGAAATATCTATAGGCTGAACTTTAAATTGATCAAGTCATTATATAAATAGATCTTTCCGAACGAGGTAAGAAAACATAAGTTTGCCTAGTAACTGTTCATGTACTTCGAGGAAATACATTAAATAACACATTGGCCCAGCTACAACCAACTATAACAAAGACCTATACCTTCAAAGCAAATGCATCAATCACTGATCTTATTCAGTATATATGACTCCATCCCAAATGCCCTCGGGATGAAAGATGCTTGGTCCATAAGTGGATTTAACCATTCGGAATAGCAGGGGAAGCTGTAGTACTACGAATAATGCCACGGGGAGAGAGGCCAGCAAAGTAATGGGAATGAGAAGTGACTCCAATCTCTTATCTAGCACAATTGTGAGAGTCGCAGCAAAAGCCACCAGCATGAAAGCCAAGGAAAGGAAGAGAAAACAAAGGTCCATTATGATCTTCTTAGGCAACAATTCAAGAAAATCTTGCAGCTCGTACCGCGATGTTAAGATGGCTAGGAATAGCAACATGGCCATCACAGAAGAAAACAAACCTAATGCATCCGAAATTGAAAAAACCCGGAAAGAGCCCTCTCTTAACAACAATGGGACTCTAGTAATGCCGCTCATGCCTCTACGCACATTGTATAGAGCGGCAAATAATACTATGGCGATTAGAGTTGAGGCGAGCATACATTTATCTGTTGTGTCCTTCACCCACTTTTGTTCATCCGCAAGCAACGCTTTGTGCTGCTCTACGAATTTATCCCAATTTGTTTTCCCATTATCTTTGGTGATTCTTGTTGGAGGAATAGTCAACTTTTCCACAACCTATGCATAAGAGTTACAATAAGTGGATTAATTATTTAAAAATTTTCAGAAAAAACTTACAAAGGAACATCTCAAGGAAATTAAGACTTATTCAACACTTATCCGAGGGTCACCTTCTTCTAAGCTTCTATGATGATTTCGTGCTTCAATATAGTCAAATAATATACGTATAGAAAACACTATATGTTTCTACTTTCAAAGGAACCAAGTTTCATTCAATTTAGAGTCTTCTAGAGGAATTGATTGAGAAAATATATATTAAGAGCTAGTCAAGAAATCCAAGAATGAGTCTTTTAGTACTTCTATGTGCTTTGTTGAGTCCCATGCATTGTATTTTGTTTCTAGAGTCATTTGAACGAGGGTGGCCAACCATCGTCGGCAATTTTGCGAGGAGTGTTGAATTTGAAGCTACTGCACTTACTCTTGCACACTTGACATTTGACACGATTATGATACGGCAAGATCATCACAGTGAAGACCTTTCGAGAGAATAGAACAATATCAACTAGGAAAGCAGCTCATAGCAAATATTCAGATTCTACATTGTGCTCTCTAATATTTTGGCCTAGAAAGTCTTCTCTTAAATAGGCATCGTCAATCTTCCCGTTGGAGATGTCTTGAAAGATCAACTAGCCGTTACAAATCCGTTGGTGCTGCTGTCCAAAGATAGAGCTGCCCATATAGCCCTTTATCCTAAACATTTGCAAGCTACCCAGAAATATGTCTCGCAGCTACTGTTCTGACGCTGACTACTCTGATATTTCTAACAGACGCCTACTCTTGTTCCCCAATAGACTTCCTCATCTTCCCATTGCACATATCCACCCTTCAACGGCTATAATCCCGAATATCTTCACATGTTTGTTATTCAAACATCACCAATGTCATGATGTCTCAGCATTGATACAAACATCATCAATCAGCTGATCTTTAGGTTCATTGGTGATGTTTATAGAAAAACGTACCAGGACATCTTGTGATCTTCTCCCAATGAATTACACCATGGATATCACGTAATCCTTAAATATTATCATAGTCTTCCACCTTATTTGTATAAGGCAGCTGCTCTCACCCGATATTGATGCTGATCTTTCTGGACCTTCCAAGCATATTGACAATTTTGACTCTACCAAGTTGTTTATCTTCATGGTCCTTCCAAGCTTTACCAAACATTCTCGTTCTAGACTTGTTCACAATCATCAGGTCCATCCAATTGTTCACCCGATCTTTGTACCTCCAAGCCATCACGAACATCTCCATTCTTCTCGGCTTATTCATCCTCGATCAAGGTCCTTCCAAATGTTCACCATATCTGAAGATCCTTCCAGATTATAGATATCTTCAATTACTCAATATCTTGTTCACCTTAAATATCAGCAGAGCATCTTGACACTAGCAGTGCATTCGTCATATCAACATGTTTTAGTGCTGTTTATGGAAGATATCTGCATCTCGGCTTGTGCATAAATCACCTGGTACTGCTCAACCAATACACACATTAGTAGCCTTTGATTGTCTTTGTCATCTTCAAAACAACATAGGGGATTTTCCTAACAATCACCACATTGGTGATTTTCCCAACACATTAAACTCAATTGTGAGGACTGATAATTTTCTCTGATTACTTAGCTGCAAATTTCTGTAAATTCAATTTGTAGCTGAGTGTTCTTCAAAGCAATTTTCTTGTGTCATTGCACCATAAAATAAAAAATAAAGCCAAAAAGTGCAATTTGAAGTTTCTCTCGTGTAATCACGATTCACCAAGCATGCTTGAAGAAACCAATGAAGAAGAGGAGGTAATTTTGCCCATGAAGAGATTGGTCATCAGGTTAGTTAATAACCATAAAGACAATAACATCACAACTTGACGGGGAAATCATCTTTTTTCGCCTTGTTATCTTACACAGTTCGTCCAATTTTCCTTTTTATATCTTGCAAGTTTCATCTAAATGCAGGAAGAGAGAATAATTTCATTCTCTGGGACTTGACGTTTTCCATAAGGATCCTGTTAACAAGTGTCTCCGAAGCACTTGTTAAATATGATATAAGAGTGATAACCAACTTTTCAAATCAATAACTACACATAACACGACGCGGTAAGTACATTGAAAAATCGGAAAGTTTGCTTAATTGGTAGCTTAACGGGTATTCTAGGAATCCTCTCCAACAAAATCCATTCATGGGATTCTTCATGCCTAATTTGCTTTGGACTCCTGATTCCTGCCATGGTGGCTCAAGGGACGTGGACAAGTCTGCAATTCTTGTAGGTGGATGGGCCAGGAAAATGGCCGCTTTTCAGTTGGGTTAGGATCTAGCTCGGGGGTCCGTCTATGTTTCACGGGCCATGTTCTAGCCCATTCAAAGCCCCCTATTTGATCATTTGCTTTTGAACAGGACATTGGGAAACGCAAATGGCACAGCAGATATTAGAGTTGCTCGACTCTTCTTACTCCGGAGAATGCCATTGTAATTACTGAAAAGAAATGGATTTTGTTAAATAAAATCAGGAAACTTATTAAGTAATCGATTGAGAATAGGTTCACCGCATCAGTTTTCTCGGTGTTAGACAAGAATTAGCTGCTGCTCATTGGGTGACGTCCGTGTATTGGTGATTCAATTATGTATTTATCAAGTACACTTCTCAAGTGAGCTAGCCCCACCATCATTTTTCTCTCTTCCTCTTCACATGAAGACCAAAAAGTCTCCCTCTATTTTGGTTTTTTTGGGTCGGGAAAGACTCTCTCTCCCTGTCCCTCTTTCCTTATTGCTTCATCTTCAAATTTTCTTCTTCTTGTTTTGGCTTCTTCTTCTCAAAAGCGGCCATGGCCGAGCTTTGCAGCAGAGCTCGTGTGGATTTGGCCGAGCTCTGCTGCGGAGCTCGCAAGGCCTACCGTGGCCCTTGTGAGCACGAGGCCAATCTTGCACAGCTTGCGGCGGCCTCGAGCTCACATGCCCATGCCACTACAAATGAGCTTGCCACAAATAGGGACAATGACGGCCAGCGACAGCATCAATTAGAAGTGAGCAACAACTAATTTTAGTCCTTCATGAATTCACTAGATTTCGGATCCAAAGTGCAAGTTTGCATGGGGAATGAAACATTTAGATAAAAATAAATGCTTTAAGTAGGAAATGGCAATATCTAAATTCAGCTTAAAGTGTAATAGCTGGCAACATTGGACCTTCGATGAAAGTTATTTTACTTCCTCTTAATTTACTTTTATCTAGAGGAAAATATGTATATGCGTTTCATCTTTGTAAAAAAATCACACGACATCATGTGTGTTTCGTATGCAACTCCTCCAGTCCAGAGAATTTCGCGACGCAAAGCTGAGAGACGAGGTGGCTATTGAGTTGACAAAACTAGTTTGCATAGAAATTTCTTCTGTGATAACAATTGACACCCTCAAATTTTTCGAAGACAACGACATCCTCAAATATGTAAATATACATATCCTTAAATTATTCACAAAAGATTGACTTCGATGATTAAGTAAATAGAAGCAATAATCTTTTTTAATGAAGAAGAAGCTCATTTAACTCGTTAGGTTACTCTTCAACCGATGAAATTCTTATCGATTGATTTCATGGATCGAATAAAATGTGAGTGAAAACCTAAGTGAGTGATCCAAATATTAAATTAACAATACTTGCTAGCATAGAGATTCCAACATGCGCCGATCACACATCATTCTCAACACATAGAAAACTGGTTCATTCGCACCAGTTTATCCCACGCAAGAACCTTCCTCCTCTTTTCATTGAAACAACCGAAGGAGTATTTTGAACATTGAAAAGAATTTACGGGTCAAATTTCACAACGGTCCTCTACTCCTTACTGCTGACTCAATGGTCAAACTTCACCACGGTCCTTTACTCTCTCCCCCGTCCCCCAGGATGAGAGAGAGATGTTGCTACCCTGCATAAGGTGTTCTTGAGAGGAGCGGGACTAAGGATTTGTTGCACGGGAACAGAGGTCCCTCTAATCGAGGTGCTCGCTCTCGTTCAGAGCAGGTCCTCCCAAATCATAACTGATCATAAAGTTTGAGGGATCGAATTAATTTATAAAAAATGTCTATTTAATTAGAGTCGCCATTAACTTATTTGGGATCGGTTAGGAGTCAAGTGAAGTGCGGGAGGACGCTTCACTTCCTACGAATTGAGATTCTGAGATTGCGGACTTGGTTATGTTAACTGTCTAATTAATGTCCTTTCGGTACCAATTCTCAATATTTCAAATATGTTGTTCGTGCAATTTTCGCCCATTTATTATCCTATGCCACTAAACGATCACAATCAATGCGAGAAAAAGAAAGTACAAGAAAGTAAACTCAAAAATAATGAATAGCTACTAAATTCTGAAATGAAAGGAAACAAAAAACAGGTAAAGTCTGCACAACGAAAATAATAAAACGATATAGAAAAGGAAAGCTCTCAGTCAGAATCTGAATCGAAACACACACCGATCTAGTTCAGGAATCTTATCAAACAAGTGGTAGACATTTCGGCCAAAGGATCTAGATACAGAAATAAGAGAGGGGTCACATCCAGACTTATCACAAAAGCTCGTACGCGACCGGATTTCTTGCTGACGGAATCGAGTAGTCGGTCCCGACCTTCAGCAGAAACAGAGCATGCGAATTTACCTTGGCTAAGAGTAATAGCTAACCGCAATTGGTGATCAAATCAGGGGACTGAAGCTTCAGGAGTTGTAGCACCAAAGACTGGAACCGGCAAAAGGAGGGAGGAGGAGAATCCAGCACTTCGATGACGTTAGCAGGAAAATAGGGGCGAACAGAGCACTTCTTCCTGTGGCTGCGAAGCTGGTGGTGTTAGGGAAGTTACCTGCGACGACAATCGGTGACAGAGAGAGAGGTAAGGATTCATAGAGGAAATCGAGAGAGAATCACCACTAAACGCGAGAATTCCTTCCTTATACTCTCTGCTCTGTTCTCTGAGGTTCAAATGCGAAGAGCCTATGGTGGTCGGCGATCGGAGATTGATGATGAAGAGGGAAGCGTGACCCAGAAGCTCTTGGAAATTGATGACGCAAGAGAGAATCTCCTGAGCTCCGTGCACATGCGTTCTCTCTGCTCTATTCTACCCCGCCGAATGCGTATATGTTAAAAATACGTATATGTGGACGCGAGGCTGTAATGAGACGGGCCGAAATTTTATTTAGTCTTTTTTATTTGTTATTTATTTTTTATTGCTTTCTTATATTTTTTTATCTTTACTAGAATGCATATTCAATTTGCCGGCAAAAATTAGGGTGTCTTGCCTTTTTTTTTGTGTTTTTATCAAGTGGATGGAAATTTGGTGTAAAATTTATGAGAAAAACTTTCTATTCACATACTGAATGGAGGAAAGATTCCTTCAATTAGAGGTAGAGAAGCACGTAATCCAAGTTTTAATCGGGAGTGACGAGTAATGTAGCCGGTCTACTTATTGGTTTATTGGTGATGTAGCGCTCAATTGCAGTTAAGTAAACTTCCAAAATAAAACTTATGAACATTCTAGTGTAGATTGAACATTCTTTGCCACTTTTAAGATAAGTTGTGAATATGCCCAATAGTTATATTGTCCCCATTATGTACAGATTGGTTGCAACCATTAATTTCAATATGGCCGGCGGAGGGGTCATCCTGATGCACGCGCACCCACATGGCTCAGAGGTCCTCATCGTCCTCCGAGGGGGTCGATCTGTGCCGGGTTCATCCCCTCAACAGAGGGGATAGCATGATTTTCGCTCGGGGGCTATTGCACTTCCAATTGGATGCCGGTAAAAGTCCGAGCCCTGGGCTTCAAATCTTGTACTTTCCTCTGTTCGCTAATAATTTGCCTTCTGAGTTGATGGAGGCCACCACTTTCCTTGATGATGCTCAGGTTAAGAAGCTTAAGGGTGTTCTGTTCTTGGTGGCACCGGCGAAGTGGCTCAATTTCATTTTAGTAGAGAACCCATACATTAACCATCAACACCTCTTAAGGCCTCTTCAAAAAAATGAAAGGAAAATGTGAATTCGGCTTATATGCTCGTTGTCAATGGCTTTCCATGGATTTTTCTTGTAATGTAAGGTTGTATTTGATTTGCTTGTGTGTTGAAGTGCGTCGTTGGAGTGGAGATTGAATTTGTTAGCTATATTATATTAGAGATTCTTAAGCTTTTATATAGGATATTTTCCTATATTAGGGGCAATTATGATATTATTGTTGATCATATATATCTCTCAAGATTGCACGTATATAACTCTTAACTGTGCATATCTTGATTGATATATTTTGTCATAGATAGTAGTTTCATAAAATCAATAAATAGGCAAATATAATCTCTGTTATTATATATCGAAATACATTGAAAATTCTCCATTTTCTCTCTTGCGCACCGTTTCATTTAATTGGATTGTTAGTGCTTTCTAACTTGTTTTGTTTGGACTATGGAGCAAAAATCCCCCCTCTCTTCATCAAATTTTGACTAGATGAATAAAAGTATGCTGCTTCGTCAATTCCTTGAGAGCTATTCTTCATCTGGGAATAAGTAGAATTTGGATGTGATTACAGTAGAATTTGGATTACGGTAGAATTTGGATACTATCTACAGTGGGATAAACTAACATTCGATGTTACATCCATATAATGACGGCTCGTCTCGTGCCGTGTGTTTGATCTAGTCAAATCATTAACTAGTCGTGGCACATCATGTCAACACATTCAATATGTTCGTTTAGTATTGTATGAAGCCAAATGGATCAATTCATTGACATGAACTTATCTATGGATAACTTAATTAAGGAGGAGTGTGGTGTGAGCTACGCACAAATCCTAATTTAAAGCTTGGCTTTAAAGTAGTTCCTTCTTTTTTTTTTCTTTTTTCTTTTTTGAATATACTAGAATCTTCTCGGCAATCACATCTCCAATGAGCAAGTATTGGATGCACTTGGATGATGTGAATCTAGCTCACATCCACAATTAGATCAGGTGGGTCCCACATAGGGCCCACTTCATCCAACGGTACATGTGAATTGCGCTCACGTGAACCTGGTGCATCTAACTTTTTTTTTCCTTCTACGACTCTCGATTGCATTAAAAGTGTTGAGGTGTTGCTTTTGATTGGTTGTTTGACCAGAAAGTTCATAAAATTTCGAATTCAAGTACCTTTTAAATCCATTTTTGGATTCTTGTAACTGTCATGCGATCGGAAAGCTCCGGACTAATAGTTGTTAGGTGTAAGTATTGTTCAGATTAGATCCTTGGGTTTTTATTTTATCATGTGTTTTCCTTGAAAAAAATTTCGACACAAACACCGTATTAGACGAATGATGAATTATTAGAAAGCTTATTGTAAATCTAGGTGCTCACGAAGTTTCAAGGTGAGATGAACTAATTCAAAGAAATCATACTATCAAATACATGCCAAAATGGGTGAAACTGGCCTGATGTTGACTCACGCGTCACGATCTTGTGTAAACTTTTATGCTATGATTTGCTTTTGATGTCAATTTTAGCAAACCTTCAATGCTAGCTAGCAGATGTCTAATTTTAGCAAATATCTAATTCTGCTTATCAAATTCTTATGGATATCTTGATAATAAATTTCTATTAATTGACAAGAAATAAATGTTTAAAGAAATTATTTGTGTATGCATAAATTCTACTTAATTGTTTGTGTATGTGTGGACTCTATTTCGAATTATCTATATATTTAATTAGATGAATGAACAAAGATATGACAGGTATAATTCCATGTGCTTCACAATTTATGTGGACAAAATCCTATAGCTGATGTAATTCCAATTCTATAGTTCTTAAGAATAGAGTTATACAACTGGTATCGTGTCGATCATCGATATTCTTTACACATAGATTATTTGATTATCAAACCATTCATCTCAAGAGCACCTATAAAGAAAAATTAAATGTTTAAAAGGTTATATCCCATGATTGCCCATATTTTGGTAATAAATGTTTTAAATAATTGTGTATGTATACATGGAATCTATTTTGAGTTATCAATATTAAAATAAAGTTGTATCTTTAAGTTGGTGGAACAAATTCCTACATCTAGGTTATAAAAAGAAAAATTAAATGCGCATATTTCGGCAATATATGTTTAGAAGTTATTGTCATGTATATATAGATTCTTTTATGAAAGATCTATATAGAACTAATGATCAAAGATTCATAGTTGGTAGAATTCCATCTATTTCATAGTTAATGGGAACAAAGTCTTTTATATGGTATAATTCCAATTGCTTTATCGTTCATAAGAATAAAGGCCAACATTTGGTATAATTCTTATCAGTGGTATTCTTTGTATATAGATCACTTCGTATATCAAATTGTTCATCTCGAGAGCATCTATTGGAAAAATTAAATGTTTAAAAAATTATTGCACGAGCAAAGCTGTAATCCATGATTGCGCGCATTACAGTAATAAATTGTTCAAAATAATTGTTTATGTATATATAGGTTTGTGAAATATCTATAAAAGAATAAGGGTGATTTAAAAAAAAATTAAGGTTGAACTTTTAAGTTGATGGAACAAATTCATGCCTTTAAGGTATAAAAGGAAATATAAATGTTTGAAAAGTCATATTCCATGATTGTGCATATTTTGGTAATAAATGTTGAAAATGATTGCTTTTACACCATAGAGATTGTATTTTGAAATACCTCTAGGCTGAATATTTAAGTTGACGGAGAAAATTCCTGCATCTAAATTACAATAAGAAAAACTAAATTTTTTTTCAAAGTCATAACTATGATTAACCATCTTTTGGTAGTAAATGTTTAAGAAATAAATTTTCATGTACTTATAGATTTTACTTTGAAATATCTATAGGTTGACACTTTAAATTGATCAAATTATTCTATAAGTAGATCTCTGGTAACAAGGCAGGGAAACATAATTTTACATAGTAATTGTTCAAATGCTTTGAGCAAATACATTAAATCGGATTGGCCCCACTGCAACCAACTATAACGAAGACCTGTACCCTCGAATCAAATTCGTCAATCAAGTGATCTCATCCAATAGTTGTGCCTCACTCCCAAATCTCCTCGGCCCGAAAGATGCTCGGCCCATAAGTAGATCGAATCATTTGGTATAGCAGGGGAAGCTGTAGTACTAGGAATAAAACCACGGGGATACAGGTCAGCAAAGTAATGGGAATGCGAACCCACTCTAGTCTCTTATCCAGCACAATTGTGAGAGTTGCAGCAAAGGCCACCAGCATGAAAGCCAAGGAAAGAAAGAGAGAAGAAAGCCCCATTATGATCTTATTAGGCAACGAGAAGAGAAAATCTTTTGGCTCATACCGTGAAGTTAAGATGGCTAGGAATAGCAAGATGGCCGTCACGGATGAGAATAAACCTAACGTATCTGAAATTGCGAAAACCAGGAGAGAGTCCTGTCCTAACAACAAGGGGACTCCAGTTTTGTCGTCATTGCCTCCAGGCATAGTGAAAGCAGCAGCGAACAATACTGTGGCAATTAAAGTTGAGACAAGCATACATGAATTTGCTGTGTGCTTCACCCACTTCTCTCCCTCCTTAAGCAATTTGTTGTGATTCTCCACGAATTTATCCCAATATGTTGGGCCATTTCTAAATTGGTAGCTTCTTATAGAAGGGATAACCCACATTTCCACGGCCTATGCATAAGAGTCACAAACATAAGCTACTATAAGTGGACTAATTATTGAAAAATTTTAGAAAAAAACTTACAAAGGAACATCTCAAGAAAATCAAGACTTATTCAACACTTAAATGGGAAATTGCTTGCAGGTTAAGTCCATCTTTACTGGAAAAATTCCAAGGTGTCACCTTTTTCTAAGCTTCGATGATGATTTCATGCTTCAACAAAGTCATATAATATGTGTATGGAAAGCACTATGTTTCTACTTTCAAAGGAATCCAGTTTCATCCAATTTGGCGTCTTCTAGAGGAATTTATGGAAAAAATATTAAGAGCAAGTCAAGAAATCCGAGACTGAGTCTTTTAGTACTTCTATGTGTTTGTTGAGTCCTTTGTGTTGTATTTTGTTTCTAGAGTCATTTGAGCGATGGTAGCTGACCCTCGTTGGCGGCCAAGCAAGTGTCGTTGCACTCATAGTCTTCCCCGGATTCTTCTTATCACAAAGTTTTCCCCGAAAGAAACACACCATTTTATTTATAAATGGTCTCCTTCCACCTTTCGGTTTACATCTTTTAGTTTGACTTTTCTAACGTGGTATCAGAGTCAGGTTCCGTTCCATTTTATCCGTTAAGTTTTTTGGGTCGGACTTTCGAACACTCGTCTCTCTAATCACAGGGATTTAAGTATTTTTTTTTAAAAATTTTCCACCCGAATTTTCCTCATCTCCATTTTCTCCCGTTTCTCAAACATGGCATTGGGTTTTTTGATAGCTTGAGAGTTGACTTTAGCTTCTTGAGCGCTTAATCTAAGGCATTAGCAGTTGTAGGCTCAGTGCCGAATCGAGAGGGAGCGCGCGATCCGTGTGGCTCCGGGAGATTAGGAAGGAGGAGGAGGGCGGCTCGCTTCGCGGAGGGGAGGATTGCACCGGCTTCGAATCAACGGTATCGTCTCACGCACGCAGCGAAGATGGACGCAGGCAGCATCGTCGAAGAAGCTCTCAGAGGCTCGGATGAAGACGCAAACTCCCCTTCCCCTTCCCCTTCTTCTTCTTCTTCTTCTTCTTCTTCTTCTTCTTCTTCTTCTTCACCACTTTTACCAGAGAATCGAGAGAGATGGAAAAGGAAGAACAGATTTTCGATTCTTGTTCGCGTTTATTTGTGGGTAAGGACAAAGGGGGTGGCCTCTTCTTGTTCCTCTTCAACGATATTTTTCTTTCTATTCTTTGATCCTTTTTTTTTTAACTCATAGTCTTTTTATTTTTAGTTTTTGAGATTTGGCGCCTATTTTGCGCCATATCGGTGCCACTAGTGCAAAATTTAAAAGAAAATTAATAAAAAAATGCCACATAGATGTTCTGTCCATAAAAACTTGACGGAGCTAATGAAAGGACTAATGTGAAGGATAGTGTCAAGCTTTAGGACTTATTAAGCATGAATTCAAAGCTTTAGGACATTACGTAATTGTCCAAAGCTCTTTTTTTAATGACAAAGAGGAATAGAGAGTTAAAATGAAATATAGGTAAATATATAGTAAATGCTAATGATCTCATTTTTTTTTTGTAGACAATGGTTTGCATGAGTAAATTTTAGTTGATAGCTAAATTGAATAATGAGAAGTGCTTGAATTAATAGCTATTCAGAGGAAAATAGTGGTCATAAATGAACTTAGCTAACCTTTTAATTGAAAAAGAGTAGATTCAATTCATATTACTTTAATTAAATCATTATCCATCTACGTACATTTAATTATATCTGAACTACACTATAATTGGGTTATGCATGAAATGATTTGCATAATAATTTCCTAATTGCATGGTGGCAGACACCTATACAAATAGTCGGTCGAATTTAAGAAAGAGTCACTTGAATTAGATAAAGTGGTGGATGATAATTATATTAGTAAAATTTGAAATACAATTTAATTATAATTAGTCTCAATCAATTATCAATGCCCCAATTTCTCTAATTAGGCTCCCTTATTTTCCGTAAATTGTTTTAAGGATGCAGTGTTGTTTCTCAAGTTACCTGTGTGGAATTTAAAAGTTCTATGATGGCAAAAGAGTTTCTTCTGATCGTTGTGGTCATGGATTCAAGTCAAATCGGAAGCATTTCAGGAGTAAAGTCCTGAATACACTAAGCTGTTGTGTGGCAGTTCGCCCTTAAAATCACGCAAGAAGGTAGACCTCGTGGTGCGCAAAAGCTTGGCCAAACATCGCCCAACCGCTATAAAAAAATGTACTATTTATATTCTCAAGACTATCTAAATAAATTCTGTCCATCATATTTTAAGAAACTTGTCAAGAAGATGTAATATTTATCATTAAGCGTGGTCATTAAACATATGAAAAGAAAGATGCTTACCTTATACCATTGGAGTTCCCTTTGCATTTGAAAAGCTGCTCCGGAGACATTAGTTGCATCATGGAACTTAGGATTGTACTGTGCTACTTCGTCCATGATCCCCATCGATTCTCCCAGGGCAGGCGCTAAAATAAATGACGACTTATTGATTGAGCTTACCTTCAGAAAGAGTCTAAGAGTCCTTTCTTGGCGAAACTCCACCGCATGTGTCGTCAACCTCTTCTTTAAAGGCGAAATACGAATAAGCTCCGGGAAAAAGATAATACAGAGCTTCACGAGTTCACTGATTCCCTTGATTGTAGCTTGATACAGCGGCTCCCTCTTTTGGAAAAAATCAGTGATCTCGGTAGTGCTCATAGAAGAGACTGCACTGCAAACTTGTTTTGCCAACTCAATTGCCGCCATGTGTCTCAACTTCACCTCGTGAACTCTCTTGATTATAGGAACTACAAAATGTCAAAACAAAAAAATGAAATGAAAAACGAAGGGGCGGCAATTGGATTAAGAAAAAGATTCTCCAGATCTGGGTTCCATTATATTTTTTAGACACCAAATTGCATCTAACAACAGTTTGCTAATTGTCATAATTTCCCACATTTAGAGCTTAGGTTGGCGAGTGATTGGGAAAACGAACTCATTTTAATTTTTTTTTAATCTGTTAGGAAATATATTTTATTCTTTTTTCTCCTTTGGGATTCAGTCCTCAATTGCAAAGTGAGAGTTTTAGTAATTGCTGATACAAAGTATAAAAAAAGGTAGAAAATCATTTTTGTCATTTTCCAAGAAAAGGTTTATATCAAGTCTGAATGAAAAAAAATAATTGGATGTGAAGAAAGTAGAAGTGATTAGAGGGTAACTGAAGAAAGTGAGCGTCCTTGAAGTTCAAACGAGGCTTTATAATGTTAATCATAATTAAGAGAACATAATTATAAGATTTAACCTGATAGAACAGCTTTGATAATAACCACGCTAATGAAATCTGTCCAGCTAGAGTAAATCACAGTAGTTTTTTCATAGATAAGATTACTTTAGACAATATTATTCAAATATGCACAGCAGATAAACCCATGCCTTCATCTTTTGCAACCTTATTTCATAGTCAACGACGTGAAGGGTTTGCCACGGTCCCAGGCCCAATTCCTGCACCCTCTCGACGTATTTTTTCGTATTGTATTGAGATGAAATAGCAGTCAAAGAAAATAATACGTAATAGAGGAAACAAATACACATGGGTTTATTGTTCTTATTTTCCAGAAAGATTTACATGCTTTATAGAGATGATGAAGCGAACATAATTCTCACCAATCAAGATTGAATGAGAAGTCCTAGGTTTACGTAACTCTTATTCCATATTTTCTGCTTAGATCATTTAGCCACAAGCAAGAAATTACTAGGATAACATCAAATCTCCTCTCAATTTGCAGTTTCAAGTATTCATTTTTCTTACTTTTTCTTTACAATTACACGACTCTTGCGATTAGAATTTGGTGAATATCTAAAATCTTTCAAAATATAAAAATGCCAACCAAAAAAATAATATATAACTTTGTCGAGTTTGAATAATTTTTTGAAAGATTTTTATTAGGTCAATTGACGGTGTAAATAATAAGTTACATATTCATTCTTAGATGGTTGATACATGAAAAATTTTAATTACAAAACTAACTTCAAACACACATGTCACTCATCCAATAATATATGTGTAATTTTTTTTTCAAATAGGCAGTGGGCCTAACACAAATTCTTTTCCAAATTATGGCAAAGAATTAAGTAAGAGGTTTTTTCTACTTATAAAAGAAGTCAAAAACAAACAAGCCATAGACATTTAGTTGGAAAGGGAGGGACAGAGATAAAGACGGCGTCTTGATAAAATGGAAGCGTACCTACAATTTTGGCGGCATTCCAAAGTAACCTTGTAAGACATTGAAGCGTTACAATCAAGTTGCAAAGAAAACCCAGTCATTGGATATGAAATCATTGTAAGACCTCATAATTCGTTCGTTTCATTGTCCAATCAATCAAGTTATACGATAGTTATGCACTTGATTTCATATGTGGTTCTCAAGGGATAGCTAATCCATAAGATAGTTCGATTTCAGGCCATTATTCAATTAAAACTAGGTCAAGGAACCAGGATATATTCTACAATAGAAATGATCATTTCAGGTTTCTTTTGCTAGTACGGACGGAATCAATCTAAAAAGTTGACTTAAAGTTCAAAATCATGAAAGGTCCTAAGATAATGCCCAACAGCAAAAATGCATACCCACCCGGATTTGAATATTCATCTGTTGTTTTGAAGTTCAAGTCCTCCGGAATACCTTCAAATCAAGGAAAAAAAAAAAAAAGAGCTGGTGATGAGCCAGGTATGATCTTCTTGAAGGGAATCAGTAATGAAGGGATGCGAGTACAGAAACTACGGACATTTGTATATCCATTCTTCCAAAACATTGAGCCTGGTTCCGCTGCGAAAGTTAGACTGCATCCTCGCCAACACGTCCAATATAGATCGGTTGTCGTACTTTTTGCTTCTCTTGGTAAGTAAGTGAGGGTATTGCCGAACTAGATAAAGGGTGATATCTATCCGAATTCACCAGCAATGTTGATCAGGAAAATAAGCTAAGTCTAGAATGAAGGAAAAAATATATGGAATTGAGATTGAAAGATTTCGGTAAGATCACTGTTAACTGTTCTAAAAACTTAAACTGTTAGATGAAAGCGTGATTTATTATTTTAAATATTCCAACACTCCTCCTCATGCTTAGTCTAGTCTTTTTGCTAGTACTAAGTCTGGAAATATTTAATTGAAGAGGCAAATAAGGGCCTGAAAGATTCGAACTCAGGACTTCCTGTTCTGATACCATGAAAGATTTTGGTGAGACCACTATCAACTGTTCTAAAAGCATAAGCTGTTAGATGACAACGTGATTTATTATTTTAAATATTCCAACAGAGATAAGGAGTGATGGTGACCTTACCAAGATGACCAGCGTAAGTGAGATTCAAAATGAAATCAATCGCAGAGGGACTGCTGAAGGGATGACTTGGCCCATCGTCCGTTGTATTTTTCGCCAGGAACCAGGCAATCTCCTTATGCTTAGAAGATTCCAGAGCAGACATTGCCAAAGGAACACGCCCTTTATTATCTGCAAGCTGCGTCAACTTGGGATTACATCTGACTATTGCCTCGATCATCTTTATCCTTCCACAAAGGACAGCATTGTGGAGGGCCGTGCGGCCATCACAATCAACCATTTCAAGCACTTCCGAATGTGGAGGCAAGAGCTTAACCAGGTTCTTGACAAATTGGACTCGTGCACTCAAGGCGGCTATGTGAAGCGCTGTTTCTGATCTGCTTGTTATTTTGGCCGTCTTTAAAGCAGAATCTCGTTCGAAAAATGTTTTAGCAGATTCCCAATCACCCTTGAATGCAGCTCGCAACAATGGTCGGTAACACTGTCCATCCACTTCCTCTTTCGATATTTCTGCAATGCATGCGAACTTTTCAGGCCATTTTGTTAATACGTTTTTCTTGCAGACATTGAGAAGTGTCCCAGAAAAGAACGATTTCATGAAGATCCGCCCCAAATACTAATTTCTCGGGAAAAGTGTCAGAAAAGTCCTAAACCTTTTATATTAATGCCAATTTAGTCCTAAATATTTTGTCTTTGTATCAATTCAGTCCTTCCGGCTAATTTTAGCCGGATATTGTTGACATTGATGCCAGCCGACTGGCTGCCGACGTTGACGTGGACAACTTTTAATAATATTTTAATTTTTTTTGAATTTTCATTATTTTTCCTTTTTTTTCTTTCTTTTTCTTTTTTTTCCTCCCCTCCCTCCTTCCTTCAGCCGAACCGACGACCGGCCAGAGGCTGACGAGGTCATTGGCCTCTAGTGAGCCACACTGGCCACTGGCGAGGCTCGCCCTTGCCAAATGGCCGAGAGAGCAGCCTTGCTCATGGCCGGCGAGGCTCGACCTTGCCAGTGGCTGGTGTGGCTCACCGGAGGCAAGCAAGGTCGACCTTGTTGGCCTCTAGCCTCTAACCAATCGCCGGACTTGGAGGAAGGAGGGAGGAGAGGAAAAAAAATGAAAAAGAAAATAAAAAAAGATAAGATAAGTAAAAATTCAAAAAATATTAAAATATTATTAAAAATTATCCATATCAGCGCCGACCATGCCACATAGGTCATTTAACGTCCACGTCAGTAAAATCCGGTCAAAATTAGCCGGAAAGACTGAATTGGCACTATATCAAAAGGTTTAGAACTAAATTGACACCAAAAAAAGCTTAAAACTAAATTGGCACAAATATAAAATTTTTAGAATTTTTCTAACACTTTTCCCTAATTTCTCAATGAAAAAACTCTTTCGAGGGTTAACGCACCTGGAGCACCTCTGGATTGAGAAGGAGCTGATTCAAAGCTTACACAAACATCTTCAACATACGTAGGAGAAAGAGTTAGCACAAAATCCTTACCATTTTTTTTCTTCTCTTTTTCCTAGCCAAGGTCAGGGTTATGTTTGTTCGACGACAAAGCAAAGAAAAAGAACCGTGAGAATACAAGTTCCAACATATTTTAAGACCACATGGCTTCTAACATATCTTTTCTTGGTTGGAACTTGAACATGTACCTGCTGGAACTGCATGTTTCAAGATCCCATGTTCTTCGCTTGGTTGCGACGCCATTGGGTTGCGCTCCTGGTTATAGTCTTTCAACAACAAAGTAAACGGAGAGTGGAAAGGAGACTTTCAACTTTCCTAGAAAGTCAATGTCAATCGGCTTAAGTGTCAGGGCCTCTTATAAATAAGCTCCGGGGTTGACCATTTCCAGAATAATATCTTGAACCTTGGTTGTTTTTATATTGATTAATTTACTAATATAAAGAAATAATGTGGCATTCTGTTGTTGGTTCCTTCGTAAAGTCTTTTTCTCATGCCTCATGTCGTGTGATTAAATCATGATTTAATAAGGTCACATCATTGAGTGGCCTATTAGTATCGAAATATCCCAAAACTATGGAAATAACAGATATATTAATGCGAATATTAACGGATAAACAGTCTCGAGAGCCAATCTTAATATTCTAGTTACTTCATGGACGTACCCAAAAACATCTATAACTTTTATGAGATTATTTGTACAAAAAAAACTTTTATAATGAAGATGTATGAAATATACATATATATCCGTAATATTTTTATTCACTACCGTTAGATCCATACTTTCTTCGCAACATGGGAAAATCTTTCTCTTTACCGCTTTTTTCTTCACTTCTCATCACCAATTCAAAACATCTTCCTAACATAATTTGAAACGTGTCATTCTCGTAAAAAGGAAACATTGATATCTTTAACTTTACCTCATAAAATGAGGACATCATTGTATACATTTGGCTTAAAATGGGTATTCGAAAAAGTTTAATATCACAATTTTTTCTAAGAAAAAATAATTAACTGAATATGGAATTTATGTTATCTTTGAAAAAGTAAGGAAAATGGGGAGGATACAAATTTAGATGGAAAGTTAATTAATGAAATTAGCTCATATTAAAAAATAAATAAAGGTCTTTACCAAAATAAATAAATAAATAAATAAAGGTGGAACGTTTTTAACGTGAATCAAGGGACAGGGACATGTTTGAAAATGTGCAATTATGTATGAAATTATTGAGGACCTTTATCTCCTCTAATTGGACACGTGTCAAACAAGGGTTTTGTACATCTTTTTGGCTCAACATTGGGCGACTTAAAGATGTCATTGGATTCAAGGATGCTGCCAAAGTTCCTCACCTCAAAGATGTGACTTATGTGGCATTGGTATCATCTCAAGAAGATTTTTGGCTTATCAACTCAAGGATGTGACTTATGTGGCATTGGTATCATCTCAAGAAGATTTTTCGTTTTGTCAAGGGTGCTGTCAAAGTTCCTCACCCCAAGGATGTGACTTATGTGGCATTGGTATAATCTCAAGAAGATTTTTTGTTTTGTCAAATCTCAAACAGGATATGCATTGAAAATTTAATTTATACCTTAAATTAAGACAACCACACCCTTCAATGAAATAAGGTCCCAGCAGGTGTGTGGACCTCGTATTATGGCAGCATTCCGGAGTGTTATCTTGAACCACTGACATGCCGCAACCACGAAGGAGGAGAAAAGAATAATATCGATAGATTTGAAATATCAAACACGCATGATGAAACTCGATTTTGATGGTTAAAATTAGAGATAAGTGCACTAGAAGTCCTAAAACTTGCAAAAAGAGTAATGAAGTCCTAAAACTGATCAAATTAGTGCAATCGAATCCCTCCCCTAACTCCATCCAACTTAGGTAACGAAAAATGCTAACGTGGCTTTTTTTAATATTCTCTCTCCTACGTGGTGATGACATGGCTAAACATGTAATATAAGCCTAAAACGACGCCGTTTTGATTCAAATATGATTTTTAATACAAATTTTATTTAAATTAAATTTAAAAGAAGGGGGAAGGAGGGGTAAGGCCACCCTACCATAGCCCAGAAGGGCTGGTGAGGGTGGGGGATGGCTGGCAGGGGTCACCGGGCCCTAGCTAGTGATCGGTGACCCTCACCCAGATTAGGGCGAGGGCTTGTAGGCTGTTGCCTGCAGTCGTTGCTTACATCCTCTAGATGAAAGTTGTTGGGTCGAGTCCTGACATGGATTTTGACTGAATATGATTTCATCCAAAAAAAAAAAGGCAAGCCAGCTTTAACTTTTGATCGTAATGATGTGAAGGTAACAATTTAAAGAAGCCGATAAATTATTAAAATGATATATTTATTAGGGTTAATACCATAAAATATCTCAAACTGATACATCTAGGACAAATTTATCCTGAACTAATTTTTTGGCTATCAAAAACCCTAAACTGGTACACTTGTGACAAATTTACCCTTCGTTAAATTGAATTAATACCACGAAAAATCACAAATTGATAAATCTGTGACAAACGGAGGGGTAAAACCCCAAACTGGTACACCTGTCAATTGTCACGTGTCATCAAATTCAGTAATTTGATAATAAAATTTAACGGAAACTAACGGAAGGTAAATTTGTCACAAGTGTACCAATTTAGAATTTTCGGTGGTCAAAAAATTAGTTTGCGATAAACTTATCACAGATATACCAATTTGAAATTTTTCATAGTATTAACCCTATTTATTATAGTGATGGTAATTTTCTTATGATGGTTGTAATCTTTTAAAAAAGTTGATAATATACTGATTTATTTGGAAATTACTCCTGGCCAACAGGTGACTTCGACCATTTCAACGCCCATGTCAATGCCTTAACTAAGCGACGGGGAAGACAGCTACCAAAGTAGTTGGGATGTATTTCCATTTCTACCTTAGGACGATGAAGACTTTTGCTCAACAAATTAGTTGGGATGTAAATGTATTTGGGTTATATCATTGTCTTGTCCTTCTCTTCTTCTATTTTTTGAGTCCGACTTGTCCTTTTCATAGATAAATGCTATGTGACTTTTGCTTAGCTATTTGTTGCTTAATTTTCACTTCTCTTATCTCAATAATTTCTTCTTTTTTTCATTTTGAAAAAAGCCACAAAAAGTTTTAAACTACAACTACTATGATGTATTTATTCTAAATGTTTTTTTTTTGTATCACCAAAAATTCCGAACTTATTCTCGTGCGGCACATCTATCGTCCGTCATGATTCTGTCAGATACGGCCATTAAAAATCCTACAAGGCTACTTGATGGACAAGGGAAGGCAAACAAAGTTGACATTGCGTCCACATGGCTTAAGTGATAAAAGAAGACGTTGTTTGGATGGCTTATGTGGACCACAATGGTGCCAATTTGCACTGTCTCTCGGTTGCTGAACTACATTTTAAATAAAGTGCCTCACAAGAAGACAGGTAAAACTCCATATAAAATATGGAATGGAAGGTTGCCATCCTACAATTTTTTGAAAGTGTGGGGGTGCCTAGCCAAGGTGGCAATTCCTCCTCCTAAACAAACTCGGTTGGGACCTAAAACGGTGGATTGCATATTCATTGGTTATGTTCAAAATAGCAGTGCATACAGATTTTTGGTTCATAAATTTGAAAATGTGGAAATCCATGCCAATACTATCCTAGAATCAAGAGATGCTGAATTCTTTGAGGATATATATCCTGCAAAAAGAAATAAGGGTGAACCTTCTTGGAAGAGAATTAAAAATCCAGAATCTAATAATGAGAAAGTTGAGGCCGAAGAAGCCAAACTTCGAAGGAGTAAGAGGTCGTAGATTGAAAAAATTTTCGGACCTGATTTTCTAATATACATGTTAGAAGGTGAGCCTCAAACGTTTCAAGAGGCAATGTCAACTCTAGATGTGGAAAGAAGCTGTTGACTATGAAATTGATTCTATCATAAGTAATCACACTTGGGAATTGGTTGATCTTCTATCAAGAAATAAACCAATTTGATGTAAATGGATCTTCAAAAAGAAGCATCAAGCTGATGGTTCCATAGATAAGTATAAAGCAAGGCTTGTTGCCAAAGGGTTTAAACAAAGAGAGCGTCTAGACTACTTTGATACTTATTCACCTATAACGAGAATAATATCTATTAGGATGTTGATTGCTATAGCTTCGCTATACAATTTGCAGGTACATCAAATGGATGTCAAAACTTCATT